ACTTGGAAACAAATTTAGTCTTATATTAAGGAAATGAGAAGGTAATTTAGAGAGAGATGAGAAAGAAGTTGGATTGGGAAGTAATGTTCACAGAAAAATTTAGTAATTTCACAAAATCTCATGAAGGCAAACTCTAGTTGGAATTCTCATGGTGTCCTATCAAAGAGATTTAAAATATCTGCATTCCAAATTATAAAAATCAATGCTTTGACAGTTTATTTTGAGTGTAGTTGGATGTTATGCTTTCTGTTGTACATCCCAGAGTGTGTAAGTTGTGAAATAGTGGAAGATCTAATAAACTATATTTCACTTCGGATGACTGCTGTATGTACAAATTAACAGGGTGAAGATTCTTCTCCAGGATCTATTACCAGGGAGTGATTTAGCCACTACAGCAAATAGAGCTAAAAGGGAATGTTTCTCAGGCCCCTAGGGCACCATTTTGTTAATTTCCTGAAGATACTTGGAAAATAATATTTTCGTAAAATAATGAATATGGAGCTCTTGTTTTTTTATAGTTAATGAAAACAGCCAAATAGAGAAGCTAAGAGTTCTGGAAATTACTGGAAAACTTTTAAAATCTGTTATTTCCATGGTTTTCATAATTTATGATGTTGGTAAATTCTGGAAACAGAATGTGAGGCCACTGTGGACCGATTGGTGCTGCTTTCCCAAAGCAAAAGATTCCTCAAAGAGCCTGTGCTTCCTACAGCCCCCCGGGAGCTGCTGGAGTTTTGGCTTTCTTGCCTTCTCATTTCCCTGACAAAATTCTCCTTCCTGGGCTTACAGAGGAAGTTCCAGCCCAGCAATACTTGGAAATTGATGAGGTGACGACAGACAGTTTTAGGGTGACCTGGCATCCCCTTTCTGCTGAAGAAGGGCTACACAAGTTGATGTGGATTCCAGTCTATGGGGGGAAGACTGAGGAGGTGAGTTGTCTGAAACAGACTGAAAATCAATCTGCAGCATTTTGTCTGGGAGTGAATACCGACTGCTGCATTGGGGTTGGTCTTCACTTTAAATTATATTGAGAATCCCAGAAGTAATTAATATTTTGTATGGCATGGAGTTCTATAAAAGTCAAATCATATGAGTTTTCGAAGATTAAAATGAATGGTTGCCAGGGCTTTAGTTATATACCTTACATACATTCAGCTTCTATGACTTTAATAAATGACATTTAATAAAACTTTAAAATGTCACTTTTGCTATATTATTAATTTATTTCCTGAGGGGATTGAAAGGAATAAAGTCTCTGGCTTGACTTTAAAATGGACTTTAGCACCCTTGGATTTCTTTATGCTCGGTTGTTTCTTGCTTATGCTCAGAATAACATTTTCCCTTTTTCTGTCTTTCCCCCCCCCCTTTTTATTCAAATAAGCCTAGTTACTAAGCACCAAATGCTTTTCAGGTTGCCCTAAAAGAAGAGCAGGACTCATATGTCATTGAAGGCCTGGAGCCTGGCACGGAGTATGAAGTTTCACTGTTGGCTGTGCTTGACGATGGGAGTGAGAGTGAGGTGGTGACTGCTGTCGGGACCACGCGTAAGTCTTGGTCTGGCCACGGTGGGCTTTAACCACTCCCACCATCCCTTCTGACACCTCTTCACTCCTTCGGTTCCTTCTCCATCAGCCTGAGTCCTGGCAATGGAGGCTTCAATTTCTCTTTGTCTCCCAGAATTTTTCATGTATCTTTACCTTCAATGAAACCCGTATGTGGAGCATCTTAGCATCCTAGACTATGATCACTATAAAGGCAGGGACCATATCTGTCTTGTTCACCACTATAGTCCTTAGCACTTCGGACAATACTTGGCACAATTTAACTGTACAATAAATGTTTGTTGACCAGATGGATGAATAGGTGGATGGATGGATGCATGGATGGATGGATGAATGCATGGGTGGATGGATGGATAAAATAATTTATGAATGAATAAATTGGCAAACAAATAAACCTAGGGCTAACATGTCCAAGAGTCTCTGGAATTTTCCAAGTTGATCTTGGTTCCAAGAATCTTGTGTAAAATTCACTTGCTGATTCATTCATCCCTTCATTTTTAAAATATGAGGTATGAACCACATATTAAATTGTCTTAGATTGGGTTTGCTGGAATCAGATTCTGAGACAGAAAATTGCATCCAGAAGGTTTATTGAAGAGTGCATTTGGGAGATGCTTATGTAAGGAGCTGAGGACAGCAGGACAGGGCATGAGGAGAAGCTGAAACTGAGTCCTCAGCTGATCTTATTAGGAGCTCTAGAGCTGGGATGACCCTTCTGAGTTGTCCCAAAGTGAGGCAAGGGGCTGAGCCTTTGTATCCCTGATTCCGCAGCACTGGAGGTGACCCATCCCCTGACAGAGGCTATGACCTTATGCGAGGCAGTTCCCAGAGCTGTGAGCCATTGGCAGCTGGTGTTCCGGCACCAGGTGGATGGGTGTGTTGACCTGAAACGGGGATCCGAGCAGAGATCCACATACCCGCTTCATTCTGCTGTCTGCCCAGGGTGGATAAGAGCAATAGAAGATTGCCCAAGCACATCGTACTCCTTGGTGGTCTTGTTTGGCAGCCTTCTCACAACTCGGTCTACAGCACTGTTTAATTTCCTTTAATTATCATGGCTATGCCCCTGTTTCAAAGTACTTGGGGGGTTTCACAATTTTGTAGGTGTATTTTGAATGTTTGTGTGAAGTTTGATATCTGGGATGAGAAATTTTAACTTCTTTGGGTTTCAGTTTCCTTATCTGTGGAACAAATATGTTGACCTTACAACTCACTTTTCTGTCTTCCAACCATAGTGGAGTTTGTTGTGGGAAGCAAGTGAGATACTGGTGGTGAAATTTTCTTTGAAAGCTATAAAATGCTGTACACAAATATATAGAGTTATTATCTGTACAGAATTTTTAAGTAATGAATATTTTTTAGTTGACAGTGTTTGGACAGAACCAGCTATGACCATAGCACCTACCAGCCCTGTGACTTCAGGTAAGGTTAAATAGGAGCCCGTTTACCCATTTTAAAAAAGTTTGGTTTAAACAGAAGTTATGTTATCCAAACTTTATTTATTTTATATTATTACTTAGAAAAAGATGTGCCCCTCCTTTTCTTCTCTGGCACACTTCTCTGGTTCAAATTTCACTTCTCTTGGAACCTCTCAACATCTTCTTTACCACTAACTACCAATCGATCTCGCAGTTCACAATCTCACTGATACATCTCTCTTCCTTTTCCATCTTTGTCTTGGATTCCCCTTCACTTTTCAGAGGATGTTAACATAGCAACCTCCCCAGGGGTCTTTGCCCTCCTCTTTATCTCAGTGACTTCTCCTGTTGCTCTCTGTTGAGAATTATTCATATCATGTTTTCCTTACATTTCTTTGGGTAACTGAGACTTGGCTGGTCTATTGTTCTTTCTACATCAGCTATTTCCTCCTTCAGCTTAGCTTTCCCCTCCACTGTAATACACCTTCCAACTAGCTGTCAGAGTCAACTAGGAAAAACACAAGTTTGGTAATATTTAATTTCTTATCTAAAACACATCAGTGGCTCTCCATTACCCATTCATGTATTCATTCATTCTTCAATTAATCTCTCTTGAGCCCTTCTTTGTGCCTTAAAATCTCTTTATCATAACATGCAGGTCCTTCCTGCCTGGGTACTGCTTCTTTCCCTTCCTGGCATCAACCATCTTTCCTATGCTTCCCCCATTTCCTGCTGCCATCCAGAACTCCTTGCCCTGAATATGAGAAGTTCCCTCCTATTCCTATTGCCTGGTATTCCCCACCCCCAATTTTTCCAGGTAAATGTCAATCTCCTACTTCCTCTGTGACCCTTTTAGTATTTTTGTCAACAGTTAATCACTGCATATCTCGAAGGCCTAACACAGTCTGACATACAGGGAAAGTTAAATGAATGTTTTCTGAATGAATTATTAAATGAATGAAGAGAAAGAGCAGTCAGAAGAGACAGACAGAAAGAAAGGAAGTCAGGGTAGAAGGGAGAAGGAAAAAATGGAACAAACGAGCGAGCAGGCTCCTTGGGAGATGAGCATAAATGTGCCCAAGAACACGGGTAAAGGAGTTTGGACAAATATCAGAGAAAAAATAATATCCATGTGGACTGAATGGATAAAGACAGCCTGGGTGGAGATTTGTGCTTTGAGTGACAAGAGTTAAAACAGAAATTGGGTTGGGGGTACGTGGATGGGATGTGTGCTGGATGCTGGATTGCACACGTTGGCTACCACGCCCACTTCTCCACGGAGCACTGGTGTGAGGAGCACTGGTGTGAGGTTCTTGTGAGCATGCTCCTCATCGGACTCCGAGGGCAGATTTACTAGTCCAAGGGCTTCTCCCCAGTTCTCCATACTAGTGTATATACAAAGCTGATCATTTTGAGGGCTCTTTGGGCTCATCTTGTGAGCATCTCTTAAACCCGTTTTTGTTTGCTACTAGTAGGTATCACGACTCCTCATTAACAACTAAAGCAGAGCTGCTCTTGCTTCATGTGGGTCTATATTATGGAGGTAACACTAAATGATGTTTGTTGCCACTCCACGAATTGTCTCTGTGGCTCATTTTGGAATATGATGGGTTAAAAGTTCTTTAATCCTTGGTTGTGTTTATTCCAGTTTTCCAGACAGGAATCAGAAACCTGGTTGTAGGTGATGAAACCACTTCCAGCCTGCGGGTAAAATGGGACATTTCTGACAGCAATGTGCAGCAGTTTAGGGTGACCTACCTGACAGCTCAAGGGGACCCTGCGGAAGAAGTGGTAGGAATGGTCTGTATAAATACAGCTCACTAGAAACTCCGCGGGCTTTACTAACAGAGCTAACAAGGCTATCTCCAGAGATGAATGCAAGCTTTACTACTCATTTCTTGGTGACTCTGCCATCTCTAGAAACTAATGTTCCCTGTTAATCCAAACTTCACTACTGATTTCTTGAGGACCTTTCTATGTCCAAAACTTGCTCCACGTACAGCTTGCTTCAAGTTGATAAAGCCTCTGAACATTATTTCCAGTATTATTTCTGATGCCTTGACCAGCTGTGAGAGCACCAAAGTTGGGTCATAAAAGGTCATACACTTGTATCTGTATATATGTATGTATATACATCTATAAAAGTTTCATATAGATAAACTTTTTTGCCCTCAGGAATCTAATTAAAGCTTTTAAGCAAAGCATGTAAGAAAGGTCTTTTAAATCATATCATTGAAGTATCCCTAATAAAATGCCATCTATTAACAAATAGTTATATTTTTCATTGACACCAACTCGTATTGAACAGATTTATAGTCATTTCTAATTTATTCTTAAGGCTGGGTGTCTCCCTCAGGGATTTAGATTTTTATGTGTTGAGTTTTCTTTAAATTGGTTTACCTATATTTCTTTTTCTGAATGATAAACCTGGTACACTCTTAACCATGGCCTTCTTATGTTTTCTGAATTTACACTACATCATTCCTTTTAGTCTAGAACCTGAAAATTCTGTTTTAGACATGTTTCCAGCCAGACCAGATAACTCCAGTTGGTAGCCAAAAGAAATTTTTCTTTTTAGTCATGAAATTATGCTTTATTTAGCTTTATTACTTGCATTTCTTTTCCTCTGCTGTATTATTTTTGACACTTGAGGAAACAAGTTCCCAAAATGTATTATTGCTCAAGAATAACATCTTTTATTCACCTTCCTTACTCACAAAGCCTTTAATGGGAAATTATTTTTATTTATGGGCTTACATAAACATAATTATTTGAGCCCAAAATTCTTTAAGGAAAATACTTTATTTCTGGCAGAGAGAGGAAACATGACAGAATGCAATGATAGCCCCAAGAATAGCCATGTCCATTGTGAACAGCCAGAATGCCCATGAAATTGGTCTGAAAATACCTTTGAAATGTTAATGAATTCTTAAACAAAATAGGTTGAATTATAAATTCACTCAGACCATACATTGGCAAATTCCAAAAAAATTAAAATTGTGCTTAGGAATGGTAATTAAAGATATAATTTGAAATGTTTTATTTTCCCTGTTATTATCCTCATATTGTGATTAATTCCTAAAAAGGAGATTCATCAAAACTTGCCAGAGTGAGAGATTATTTTTTTGCTTTGTGTTTTTTACTCTTTCCAAGAAACACATTAAGCTTCTTAGTGAATTATTCCTGCTAATTTGGAAAGAGTAACAATTTAATCTCATGCATGCACTTGTAAGCTACACCAGGTAAAATAATAATAATATTTACTTTGGGTTGTCACTAGATAATTTTCCCTTTGCTAGTTTCTTTCATTTCACACTGTTTATTTTTGAAACACTTGGACACCTAGATGAAGGGAAAAAAAGATCAAAAGTCTTAAACACTCTGCCCCAGTTAAACAAACCTTTAATAAAAATGAAAAATATTGATAAATTTGGATGGTGATTTTTTACTATGCAAAACTTTTTTTTTTTTTTGCTATACAGAGAAACTATTGTAGAATTCTTTAAGTATCAAGCTCCTTCAGTGAATTTTTATTAAATTGGTCATGTGCACACTTAATTTACATGCACCTCCTCAGAGAGGAGGATTGATTGAAAATTTTTATCTGTGTTTTATGAAGTGTTACTGCTATACATATGTAATGTGTTATTACTGGAGACAAAAGGTGGGTGTCATGTAAATGTGTATTATGAATCTATGGTAGGACAGATGGATGCAGACTTATGTTAAAGTCTTGAAATCACACGGACCAAATGATATCTTAAAATAATGAAGCACGGCAGGAAAAGACAGATGGCTAAAACATATTATAAAAGCAAGAGAGGAAATGTATCCAGATAAGAGGAATACCAAATTTCCCTTGACTATAAAAGCTGATTAAACTTACATGAGGAAAGAATAAGATAATGTATTGAAGTTGAATAATAGTCTATGTATATAACATTACAAACCAAAGTTAAGCTTAAATATATGGAAATGAAGGGAAATTAAATTTACTTTTCCAGTTGAGGTAAATCAAGTATTTATATACTTTCTAGATATAATTAAATCTATCAAATATTTCCAAGAAAAAACCTTTGAAGTCTTAGAAATAAAACTGTAGTACCTATCAAATATTTTATAAGGATTGACTTTCAACTCTGCTTTGAAATATGGAGGAGTGGCTGGCAATGACATTGCTCTGAATTTTGTTGTCAGGGTAGGGAGGTCTCTTAATTATTTGTAAAAGGCTGGAAAGGATTCCAGACTTTCCTAGTGCTAAAGTGTCAAAATCTACAACCATGACCTGAATTCTGAATTGCAAGAAATTTTTTAGAGTAAGGCTACTCAAAATTGTAGGAGTAGGGCTACTCCTACAAGATAAGTTCGGGTATTAAGATTAATCTTTCTAGAGATGTTGATAGCTATTTAACATGCTGCAACAATCCAAGAACATGATCACTTTTCTAACAATTTGATTTCATTGTATTTTATAGACATATTTGATTGTAAGGGATTGGAATTAAGATAATGACACCACCAACAACATCTAGTCCTTTGCCACAAATATTTTGAGAATTGCTGTCTAGAACTGAGCTTCATAAGATGGAAACACAATGAGATGCAGGGAATCCTCTTTCCATTGCAGGAGCAGCTTGCTGGATGTGGTCCAGGCTACTCTGAAGAGCTTTGGGTGATATTAGAGCCAGACATGAAGTTGCATTTCTGAAAAAATTAAAAACACGAAGCTTAGTGGTTATATTTGCATCCCACTTAACCACGAGCATATTTTATGGAATTGTTTTAGGAATAAAACCACCATCTGCTATGACCCACAGCATTTGTTTTTAGTAGGAGCACATTTTTTTACTCTGCTTTGTCTAAACAAGCAGAAGTCAAGCATAAGGAACTTTGCATACCCAAGGGGAGATTTCCATTTGACTCTTGAGAATGACTATCATTAGGGTGAAAAGGTTCAAAGAGTGCATTCCTGGAGTTTAATAGGGCAAACTTTAAAGCAAGGCCCAAACCAGATTCCTGGGGTTTCAATATGGCTTCTTTACTCAACAGCTCTGCAGGCCTCAGTTTCCCCATTTGTAAAGTGAGTGTAATGATACCCCTGTCCTCAAAAGATTGTGGTGAAGATTAAGCAAATTACAGGTTGAGCATCCCTAATCTGAAAATCCAAAATCTGAAAGACTCCAAAATTTGAAAATTTTTGAGGACTGACATGACTCCACAAGTAGAAAATTTTGCACAAAGACTTCACACAAACTTTGTTTCATGCACAAAATTATTAAATAGATTGTATAAAATTACTTTCAGGTTATATGAATAAGGTATATATGAAACATAAATTAATTTTGTGTTTAAGACTTGAGTCCCATCCCTGAGATATCTCATTATGTACAAATAAGCTGAAATCCAGAAAAATCTGAAATCTGGAATACTTCTGGTCTCAAGCATTTTGGCTAAGGGACACTTAACCTATACTGTATTAGAATACATAAAACAGCACCTGGCATGTGAGGGTCATTATTATAAGTCACAGCAGCTACTTACTGGCAAGCTAAATGAGTTCTCCAAAATATTCACACTGTGTTTTGGTACTCCACAGGCTAAATCTGATTGGTTCCTAGGCCATGTGCGTCTCAATTTGAGAGATGAACTTACTTAAGGAACATCAACATGGGTGGTTCACTAAATAGACAGATTGGAATGAATGCCCATGTTCTGCACACCAGAGGAGTTACATCTAAGAGAAACACCCTGCAGCAAGCTACACTGATGGCACAAGACAAGTCAGGGCAACCCCAGTTCTTCTTTTATGTATCTTTAGTGCCAGGGTTGTCTAAATCATCCTAGAATCAAACAGATCCTCTTTTAAAATATCTCACTCCCAGGACCCCAAGTCCACACATCGATACGACCCTGTGCATTTCAATGTGCCTTTCTATGAGGAGCAAAATCATATTAATCCAATATAAAATCACTTAATTCAGACTTCCCTTTTTCATATTAAAAAAAAAAACATTGCTTTTAAGAGCTTAGCAATCTCTTAGCAACAGCTGCTTCTGGGTTCAACTCGAGGCTTTCTAGGGCTTATTCCATGATTTATAGGTTCCTTCCTTCATCCAGAAGTAGACAGCACCGCCTTTTGCCTGCTGGCATCTCACCCAGCCCTTGAATGGGAAAGTATCTCCAGCTGTCTTGGTCTTGTGACTCCCTTAAACCTGTTTGGGTCAGTTCTTAACATCCTAGCGCTTTTCCAGCCGTGATTAAGTTCCTTAAATGGCCCAGTGATGTGCCAGCATCTAACGACTGGAGCACAGACAGAAAGTTTTGCGGTTTCAGCATTGAGAACATGTGGCTTTTCTCGTCCACACTATCCCCGGGATGCCGGAGTTTGCACTGTCACGCCACACAGTGCATTGCACTCACGCTTGTGCGACGTCCACCCCACTGCTGCGTTTCTTTTTTGGCAGCCTTTTAGACACAGTGATAGTGAGTCCAGATTGAGGAAGACATCTCTTTTCAGAAATTAAAAAAAAAAAAGCTGCAACATTCTTTAGTGTGCTGGTAAATATGCTTCAACTCAGAGGACTTGGCTTCAGTGCATGGTTCTGTTGCTCTTGGCCAGGATCCATCCTTTCTAATTGAAAGAAGGAAATGCTGGGGTATGATTATCTCTGAAGGAGGAAAAAAATGGAAGGTTGAGTTTGCAAGAGGATACTTAAGAAGAATCAAAAACGATAAGCAGCAGGCTGGGTTATAGAATGAATGCTCCCTGTCCATAAACACCTGCTAGCTAAACAGACCATTATTCTCTCTTCTGGATACTTTACAAATGCTGAGAAGATGTTGAGAAAAGAATATTCCTTAGAGCCTAAGATCTTCAAATTTAAACATTCCATATTAGTGATTATAAACTAAGGGTTACTGCGACGGGAATTTCAGAGACAAACGCTTTTGCACGAATGCCCTTTCTTTTCTCACTACTCTCTGAGCTCATCTCCTTGCTTCTGGTTATTTCAAAATGCCTAAAGTTATAGATCAATGAGAACAGGGGATCTCACTGAGTCCATGGTCCTTTGCTTTTCTGTTCAGGTCATGGTGCCTGGAAGCCAGAACAATCTCCTTCTGAAGCCTCTGCTTCCCAACACTGAATACAAAGTCACGGTGACTCCCATCTACACAGATGGAGAAGGCGTCAGTGTCTCTGCCCCTGGAAAAACCTGTAAGTGACGCTTTCTTCCTTTCAATACTAGCCTACTAATTAATTGGAAATGCTTGTCCCCTGTAGTGTACCCTGAAAGAGTATAATGTCATGAAAAGAGCAAAAGAGATTTGAAAACAGAAAATCTGTGTCTGCATCCTGTCTTCACACATATAAGCTACGTGACTTTGGGCAAGTTGCTTAACTGCTCTGGGCTTTAGTTTCTTTTCTATAAAAACTAAGGCTTGAAAAACCACTCTATTTTTCTCCTCTAGTGTCTAATTTATCATAAATCCTATTGATTTACCAAAATGCATTTTGCATGCCTGTCCGCTCTCTCTTCATCTGATGGGTCCACCCCAGTCCAAGCCACACTCTGTCCCTCTTGCCCAGATGAGTGCACTTGCCTCCTGCTGGGTCCTGCTGCTTCCGCTCTGGCCATCCGTTATTGTCCTTGCAGCAGCCTGGGGAACTTTTCAGAATGAAAATGATCTCATGTCATGCTTCTGTTTTAAGCCACCCATTGGCTCAGTGGCTTACCATTGAACTCAGGATAAAATCCAGCATCCTTCCCACGGCCTATAAAACCTGTATCAGCTGGAACCTGCTGATTCCTTTGATTTCACCTCCTAGCAATTCCTCCAGCCAGGCCTTCCTTCCTGCTTGCCACTGGACTCTTTAGGGTCTTCCCTGCCGTAGGCCCTGTGTAGTAGTGATTTCCTTTCATGTGGAATATCTTTGCCCAGATGTTCGCGTGTCTGCATTTTTCTTGTCATTCTGCTCTCAGCTCAATGTCACCTCCTCAGCCTTTTCTGACTGTGCCATGCAAAGTAGCTCCCACTCTCTATGATATTGTCCTGGTTTTTGTTGTTTGGTTTGTTTGTTTTTTGCTCATGTCATGACATTATTGACTCTCTGGTATTTTCTTGCTTACTCATGTACTTGCTTGTCGTCTGTCTCCCATTCTTGGAAGACAAGCATCATGAGATCCTGGGACCTCATCTATCCTGTCCACCTCTGTGTGCCAAGCTCCCACAGCTCTGTGTGGCACAGAGGAAGTGCCATACAACCTTTGTTTTAGATGAATTGGCCATGATCATTAAGTGAGGAGGGTGCATGAGAACCCTTGGTTAAAGCTCTACAGAGTCTTACTTGTCTTCATTACTGTTAGGATTGTCTATACTTGCATAAAGACTACCCTAGAACTTAATGGCTTAAAACAGTGATCATTTTATTCTATCTCACTATTATGTGGGTCAGGAAATTAGGGCTTGCTTGGAAATAATTGTGCTCCATATGGGATTGATTAACATCACCTGGTGGTGTTCACCTGGTGGCTGGGTTGATCTGGAGGGTACAAGACAACTTCACCCACAGGCCTGGCATCTTGGTGGGGACAGCTAGAAGGCTGGACTCAGCTGAGTCTCTCTCTCCATTCGTCTCCGAGCCGCTCCATGTGGTCTTTCCAGTAGGGTAGTCGTATTTCTTACATGGACACTCAGGACTAGAAAAACAAGAGTTCCAAGAGGCAGAAAGTGGAAATTGCTGGGACAGTTCAGGGCTATACCTGGAACTAGTAGAGTGTCGCTTCTGCTGCAGACTGTTGGTTGAGGTAGTCACAGAGCACACCCAGATTCAAAGAGAGAGAGTCGTAGCCTCTGCCTCTCAATGAAAAGAGGGTCAAAAATATGTGTGACTATCTTTAATCTGCCGTAATTACCAAACAGTTACATGTGATTAGGTGCAGAATGATGTCAAGGGCTGAATTCTGTACCTGGACACCTAAATGTGGAGTTTTCAACTAAGTCCATGCAGGCCATTAAAATTCTGCAGCCCAGAGTCTTAATTTCTACTCAACCAAGCAAACAGGTATCGTCTTCTCACTTAATAGCGCTGGCATCGCTCCCGCCCTCCCCACGACCGAGCTAGGTGTGCCTCCACCCAGTCTCCCACCAAGCCTGCACGTTTTGCTAAGGATCACCCAGAGGGTTGTGAATCCTCAGACTGGCTATGGGGTCATGTAGAAGGAGAGAAGGAAAGGCGAAGAGCAGAAATGTAGGGGGGTCTCAAGCTTTTCACTTTTACCTGTACATTGGTGCCTTGATTTGACCTTTAGCTTGGAATTTCTAGCATAGTTTGGTATTTCGCTGCTATAAACTAGAATTATTTGAAAACTTAAACAACTAAAGAAGAAAATCAAGTAGTATTTCCCTAGCACAAATAAAGACTATTTAAAGAATATTGCTATAGCAATATGACTTAAATATCATTCTAGAAATGCTATGACATGTAACAAAATAGAATTATTTCAAAGTGTTAGTGGATGGTCTACTTATTTTAAGCAGTGGTCAACACAACTAAATTCGAACAACAAAAAAAATAATAATGATAATATCTATCAATAGGCATAAAATTTTGCAAAGGTCCTCCATAAAAAATGACTTTGTTTTGATAAAAAATTGATAAACAATAATATAAAACTTCAAACAATATAGGTAATATGAAGATAAAAGCAAAAAAATCACCAGAATCTTACCTCTGAGAAGAATCATTGTTAATATTGTGTGACCATCACCCTCAATACTGCTGTACACATGTATTTTGATAGTGGAACTGAGTGGCATGTTGACAGAAATTTTTAATAAACACTATTCAACTCAATTTTACTTAAAATTAACTGAAGGAAAGTGGATCAAAATGGCATTGAATGAACTTCTGAATTTCAGATAAAAGTGTTTTGTCACAAAAGCAATTCTTTTCTGTATATTTAATATTTAAAACAACCTCAGACTGTCAAAAGCTTCTTACTGTGTGTTTTAGTGCACTTTCCCTTGTAAATATTTTTAACCTTGTGGGAAGATAGCTTAGGTTTTGGTGACAACAGTGTAGGTCATACAGAAGAAAAGTACACTGAATCCCTATTTTTCCTTTTCTTTCCTGTTCAGTGCCATCCTCTGCTCCCCAAAACTTACGGGTGTCAGAGGAATGGTATAACCGGTTGCGAATTACATGGGATCCACCATCTGCCCCTGTAAAGGGCTATAGGATTGTCTACAAACCCGTCAGTGGTAAGTAATGCTTTGTAATATTATTGGTGTCATGAGTAGACATTTAAAGTGTCTTTCAAGATAAATTATTTTATTCTAACATTTTATGTATGCTTGGTTTTATTAATTCTTTTAAGGAAGTAGGAAAAGCCTTTTACCTGTTCTGAAAAGAAGGTTTTTCTAGCATGGTCAGTGTTTGTTTAGGGTAGATATTATCAGAATGATGAAGGTATAATCTCACGTAGAAGACTACTGCGCAGGTCAATGAGCAGAATATATACGTGGTGTGCATCTGACCTAATCATACCCTAGACCAGGAAACAGCCTCAGGAAACCTTGACTCTGCAGGAATAGGAAGCTTTATGGTTCAATGGATACATAAGCACTAAACATTTGGAATCTCTAATTTTGAATTTCTCTTCTACTTCTTACTTCTTGGATTAATTGGAAAAATTCCATTTTTCCAGCTTCCCAATCTCCATATTTTGCAAACTATATTGAGGGATAAAACTCATCAAAGTAGTAAAATGCTTTTCCATCAGCCTCTTAGCTACTGTGATAAGGAGAGCCCTCTCTCCTCTACCTCCCACACCGTTATGTCATAAAGGCAGGAGAATGACCCAAATAGGGGTGATCTTATCCGTGGTCTGTATGCCTGTGAAGAGTGGACCATGTGCACCAGCACCTCTTACAGTACCATCTCCCTACACTTAGCATGCTTATGGAAGTATAAACATGTTATAAGGATCTTCTCAGTTTTCTAGAACTGGACCTTCAGTGCTCTGGTTGTTCAGCAGAGAGGGGTTCTCTGATTATTTTTCTTAACTTGGCAGGAAATTTAAAAAATCATTCTTTGGGCCACTAAAAAAAATGCTTTCTGCCTTCAAAAATTCTATTAGTCTCAATCTGTCATCTGAGATGTTGCTCTTCTCCTATCAATTTTCAGTCTGTTCTCTTGTGTCTCATTATTCAGGTGCTATTGTCTTCAGGTTAATACAACTAAGCTACTCCCATCCCCAATTGTTCCAGACAAACATCTTTACAAACCAAGAAAATAAATAGCAAAAATAGACCATGGATGCACTAGTTTGCTCCTGGTTGATTCTTTGTGAACCATCCCAATATTTTTTTATCTCTTTGCTTTAGGCCTGAGGCATGTGTTAATTTGCAAGGCAACCTTGCTGAATTTGTTCTTTGCATCATTTTACAAATATTTATCAAGTTTCCTGAGCTCAGATAGCTTTGTTTTAGGCCAGTGGTTCTCAGGAGGTATAATTTGTCCCCCAATGGAAATATTTTTGATTGTCGCATCTCGGGGATATGGGGACTCGCTCCTGGCATCTAATGGGTATGCTAAACATCCTACAATTTATAGTACTCTCCTGTACCAGAATAAAAAATTATTCAGCCCAAAATGTCAATAGTTCTGAGGCTAAAAAATCCTGTTCTAGGCCAAGTGGGAGAACTGTACATGGTCATTTGCATTGTTTGTCTGGGGAATGGGAAAATCACTATTAACACATATGTACCAAAATGTATGAATATATTGTCGGAAGGGGTCTTCTGGACGAAAGTGAGTATTTTAGGAACTTGTCACTAACTCAGAGCTCTTAAAGAATGAGCATGTAAGAGAGGTAGGAAGTAAATAAATTTGTATAGGATTTAGCAAGAAAGGTTTTTAATAGTTCATTAAAGACCCCACTGGGTTGAAAAAGAGGTGAAGATGTAAAGGCCAGAAAAAGCCAGATGATCAAGGGCCTTGGGATAAAATCATCATCTATTTGGTATTAAAAATCCTAAAAGAAGTAGATAGGGTAACACTTATTCTGGTCCCCATGTGGCAAGGTATGACCTGGTCTTCATGATAAAACTTGCTGTTACTGCTGCTTGCGTGCCAGCTGGGGACAAAGTTGGGTGTCTAAGAAGGGAAAATTAAGAATTCTTTCTTCATTTGGGCAAGTGCCTCGATTTGCCTTTTAGAACATAATAGCTCACAATGTGGTGGACAGTGGACTTTGAGCTGAATCAACTTTTAAAATAAGCATGATGGCAAAAACTGTATTTGGGAAAAGGACTAGGTTCCTAACATAACAAATGGCGATCACATATGTAGGATTTAGGATTTAGCTGGGACTAGCTTCAGAGCTCGGTCCTGCCATTTGCTTGCTGATTCCAGGCAACCAAAAAGCAGTTGAGTGAGTACAGTTTGCTCCAAGAGTGCTTCCATTTTTCCATATTCTGTGGTAACTAAAATATATACTCTTTTTCCTTTAGTTGCAGGCCCAACACTGGAAACTTTTGTGGGAGCTGACATTAACACCATTCTTATCACAAACCTCCTCAGCGGAATGGATTACAACGTGAAAATATTTGCCTCCCAGGCCTCCGGCTTCAGCGACGCCCTGTCAGGCCTGGTGAAGACATGTAAGAGCCATGTCCAGTGGCTGCGGCCCCACGGGGGGTTTTGCTGCTTTGTTTTCACTGTTACTTGTCCCTCAACCCCTGCTTCCCTTGGGCGGTTGGTTTTTCTTTTCCTCAGTGTTGCCCTTTCTGGATGGGGTTTCCTGGAAAGAAAGATGTGCTCTTTACTGAGGGCAGCTCAGAGTCCTGGTTGGTAGGTGGCGTGTCAGCATCTGACTTTCACATAGGCTTGACCATTGCAGATAGGATTTCCTTCTGGAAAATCTTTGTTGGCATTTTTCAAATGAGGTGAAATTTTCCAAACAGCCTGTAGCCTGACATGGCCAACGTGAAAGTTGGGCCAGGGAGAAGTTTGTCTTTTCTCAGAGCCATTGCGCCACCCACTTGCACGCACACACACACACACACTCACACTCACACACACACACACGCACACATATACACACACACACTCCGAGGACTTTCTTCTCTACTCTTTTAAGGATTTTAATGCTGCCTGCCTACCATCTGGGACTTCTCATTGGCATACACCATTCCCAGACACCCACGGAATAATGCAGTGTTCTCCAAACTCCAGCATGTATGTTCCATATTCTTGAAGTTTGTTACACCTCCGCACCATCTGTTTAACGTATTTCTTCAAATCAACTTACGGTGTTTGACCTAAATACTTTTCAAAACTCGTGTAATTAGCCAAAACAGAAGGTTAGAATTTTTAATACACATTAAAGATAATACATAAATGACCAAAATAAAAACGGTTCAGCTGTGTGCTAATTAAAATAATCCTAGATGCTATCAACAGTGTCTACCCCACTCCTGAGAATGATAGCCATGGTAATATTAAAAGATTAACAACGTTTCCATTATGTCTGTTTTGCTCTTCCCTATTGTTTAAGCCATGGCTATCTCATTGGTTGATAAGCACATACCGTATTTGCTTTTTTATTATAAAAGTATTATATGTTCATTGTGGAATACTTAGAAAACACAAATAAATAAGGAGAGAAGATTAAAAATCGCTCATAATTTCACTATCCATTGCCTCTGTCTTTTTCCTGTGAATATATATTTCCTTTTTCATTTACAAATATCATAGACCATATCATGCAGTGTTTTGCAACCTGTTTTCTCAAGTCATAAAATATTAGTTATCATTTGTACTCTAACTTATTGCAAGTTGATGGATTTCCCACCTCTGAGTATGGAGCTTTGAGTGGAAATTTTACCATAAGTTCATGTCAGACTTGGGGACATTTGTAGCATTATCTGAAGCGGGATACAGTTGTGTTTCTATTTCATTGTAGGGTTCTTGGGTGTGACCAATCTCCAAGCCAACCAGATTGAAATGACCAGCTTGTGTGCTCAGTGGCAGATGCAGCGTCATGCCACAGCCTACAGGGTAGTTATAGAATCCCGCCAGGGTAAGTACAATCCATCACCTATGTTTCTGTTAAGCACTCCTGTACTTGGTTCTATACAAATCACTGTAGACAACACACAAGTAACGTTAGACAAGAGCCCTTTTCATGAGGAAGCAGTTTGTATGGTGGTCAATCATGTAGCACATGGAGTCAGACCGGCTGGTTAAGGGAAGAAAGGAAGGGAGGGAGGGAGGGAGGAAGTAAGAAAGGAAGAAAGGAAGGAAAGAAGTAGGCAGGAGAGGGAGGAAGGAAGGAAATAAGGGAGGGTTTTTCTCATCTGTTAATGGATATAAGCATAGTGCCAATTTTTTTAGGGTTCTGTGAAGATTAAGCTGAGATAATTCACTTAAAGCACTTACAATGGTGCTGTGCACACAGGAAGCACCCAAGAAATGTTAACTGCTATTGGTAGTAGCAGCCAAATAGCCAGGACTAACATACATTAAAATTGTATGGACTGTAATTTTGGTACTCAATACATAGGGATCAGGCTTGAATTTAATGTTTTTCTAAGTGTTTATTTTTTGGGGGAGGATAATTGGTGAACAACAGACTCTCATTCTGGAGAAGGTTTAATGCATCTACACCATGATGAACAAGACCTTCAGCTCTACAGTTCACAAGTACGTCTAAGATTTGGGACTTCATTCCAAAGTTGAAACACTAAAAATGTCTCCTTGTCTTCATTAAAAATATCAAGAATAACATCAGAAGGCTGATTTCAGAAAAAAAAATGAGTATCATCTGCAGTCTTTTAATCCTCTTTTCATATGTTCAGAATGAACAATATTCAGAAGGTTAAATCAAATAATGAAAATTACTTTTATCAGATCTGTATAAACAATAGAAAAGATATATCTTGTTATTTTTGTGGGGATTATAGCAAACACTCAAGAATCCCAGATGATCGTTCTTTTATGTTCCAAACTTGGTAGTTAAATTGTTTAAAATTTAGTCCATTCTTTCTAGACAAATGATCTTGGTTCTCCCATTTTAAAAAAGCACAAAGCTAATTAGTTGAGGTCTGGAAAACCTGGGTTTAGTAGTCCGTATCCCAGGCTACTACATTCAAAATCCATAAATCTTACTTTCAATCTGATCTATAAAGTAGAGAACACAGTTTAGGAAAGTACTGAGAGCATTTGGAAATATGTCCCCTGTAGAATATGAGCTGACATAGGAGGAACATACTAGAAGAAATTCTCACCAAACCCAGCCAAGAGATTGTCCCAATAGACCTGCTGGGGCACAACTTCCTTGATTGCTTGTGCGGCATGTCAGCATCCCTCCGGCTTGACATGGGCTAGACATAAGGGAGTAGCTCTAATCTGGAATAAGCATTGAGGAAGAGAAAGTCAGGACAAGTCACATGGATTCTGTGGTTTTGTCAAATATGATTTATGGGATGCTTAAGCAGAAGTAGATAAAGCATACGCAACTATTTGAGAACAACTACAACACCTTGAGGAGTCATGTTTCATATACCTCTACAAGTTATACATTAGTATGGAAGGGTTGACATTTAGTGGTATTTGTTAAGCCTTAAAAAACTACTAAGTGTAATAATCACACTCCCACACTACTCCACCATACTTTTATCCTTTTATATCATTTAAGAAGTTGAAATGAAGGGACTCGGGTTCCTGTGGCTATTCATTGCCTTTCGTAAAGATTATAACTATATCAGTTGACACAAAGATATCTTAAAACTGGCTTCATCAATGGAATTAGCAAGATTCATAAGTACTTTTTATTAAATTCTTTTAATTGAGCATATTTGCAAAGCAGCAATGAGATTTTTATCATAGCATATGATTGATTTGTCTGATAATGTTGAGCCAGTAATCTAAAACTGCAATAAGCTCTTTCTGAAGCCAAGATCTTTGCTGGCAAAGAACGTGAGTCCACATTTGCTTTTTATCTTCAAGTTAAGTTAACTTGTACTGCCTCAGTATTATTTTTTAAGCTGCCAGAAACCTTTCGACTGAGACCTCATAGTCTCAATTAAACCGGAATGAACAAAAGTATTGTTCAAATTACTTCTCATCAACATTCACAGCTGAGAGATTTATGAGCAAAATTAGCCTACATCTCCTTCACCCAGTCGTCTTACTGAATATTCTTTATCAACTGGACAGCAAGAGATTGTAATTGACAACTTCGAAAAGGAATGTTTGGCGGGGGAGTGAGTGTTAGGGTGGCAGTAGGGAATGTGTTTAGATATTTTAACTTATACAATTTACATCGAGAAATATTCTTTCTACTTTGGAATGGGGAAGAATTAGGTGGAGTTTTACAGAGAAATGTGGTCACCATCCCGACTTACTGCCTTTAAAGGACCTGTGTTAAAATGCGTCCATTCTTCCACATATTGCATACATATGCTGCTCCTGTGAAAATTTTAGTCCTCCCACTCCAGTCAAAGGAGATACTAGGGAGAAATGGAACCCAATTCCTCCAGGTATTGGAGAAAAGCTTTATTCTAGGTTGATCTATTTCTAAATGCCTCTGTCAAATTCCTATAGTTTGACAGGTAATTTTTCCAGTTTTTCCCCATATGTGTTCCATAGCCTGATCATGTGTACTTTTATTCCGAGATGAAATCAGTGGAAAAGTCTCCACTATAACCACAACTGCTGGTCAACTTTCTTCTCTGGGCTTCAGTTTCTGTAAGATTACTTCATTTGAGGTTATTAACTGAGGCAATATCCAAAAATGTCTGAAGTTTCTGTGAGTATAGTAGTCAGGCTGTATTATTCAGGTTTGTTTGTTATATACACAGAAACCTAGATGTAAGGAAGTTAACCAAAAGGGTCAGTGTATTGGCTAATATACTGAGAAGTCCAAAAGTCTCTACCTTCAGGCACATCTGGATCTAGGTGTTCAAGCAATGTCTTGGAGATAAAGCCGTGTTCCATTTTTCTGCTCTGCTCTCCTCTGCCTTCATTCTCAGCCAGGCTCTGTGAGTCAGATCTAGAATTACACCCTCCCACCTTCCAGCTTAACAGTCTTGGTGAAAGAAGAGCTTCTCTTTCTCAATAGTTCCAACAGAGGTCCAGGGACTGAGTCATATTGGCCTGGTTTGGGTCACAGGCCCCTAAATCTGTCATTGAGTTCAAGGGCATGAAATAAACCAGCTGTCTGGACCTGGTTGTCTTCCACCCCTGTATCTGGTGGTGGCAGTGGGAGGTAGAGGTGGTATTCAATCCTCCCCAAGCCATAAAGACCAAGAGTAGGAAGGAATGGATTCAAAAAAAGAGAAATTAGATTAAAGACAGTCAAAAACAACAGATGTCCTCTACCCATGTAAATATTATGACAATTTTATGGCCAAGAAGGAAAAAAAAAAGATTACCAGAAGGACAAAGTCCTCTCAGGAAAGACTGAAATAAAATCTGCTTTTCAGTCAGTCATGGGCTTGCCAAATTAAATTATAGGCTTTTGGTTAATTCTAGGACAGACCAAAGTGAGAGATTTTGGTTGGTCTTGGGTAACTCAGAACGCTGTGAGAGCACCCATCACTTCTGCAGATGTTCTGGGGCTCTGTTTCTCTTGCTTGCTGTTTTTGAGTAAACTTGGGACCTAAGGTTGGAAGTAGTGTTTCACTTCAAGTTCATGTATTTTTTATGCCATGTGGGCCCCAATACTCCATTCCCTCCCTGATCCTCATAACTTGGTGAACTTCTTTACAGCCTACTTAGAAAAAGTTCAGAGGATGCTCCACTTGTCTTCTCTGTTTAGGTGTTGAGATGTCAATTTTGCAGTATTATTCATTGACAAAGATAGAGAAATGCAGCATTATGGAGAAGCTACCTTACCAAGGACCAGATACAAAAAAGAAAAGAAGAAGAAGAAGAAGCTCATATGGAACAAAACCTATTTTCAAAATTAAACTTTTTGAAGCAGTGACATTATGATTGGGGGTCAGGGTATTTGAGAGACCTGGGGAGTGTAAATATCCTTTGGTTGTGGACCTCAGTATCTACTTGTAGGACATTTTGGTAAGTCAAGTTGATGGCATCATTATGAGCATAATAATAATTCAGAGAGTATATTTAGCCTTGCTTCATAAGAATGAGTGCATAAATAAAAGCAGAATTTTTTTCCCCATTCCAAAAAAATAAATTAACTTTCTGCTTTTGGCATGAAGGATTGGGGAAATTAGTCATCATTTGATTAGTTTAAATGTTTTCCTTTAAGGCAAAGCCATTAGACCTGAATTGCACATGCCAAAAGCAACATGGATACACCCCATTCATGTAGCCCCTCTTTGCTAGTATTGGGAATCAAACTGATACTGTTTGCCATTAATCTTACAGTGCTTGTTCCAGTTTTCTAATGGTTTATATTTAATAGATGCTTTTTAGTGGTAAAATCTATTTATCTTCTATTTTCAATGGTCTTTAAATGCATGAGTATCTACATGAAGTAGGAAAGGACAGAAAAATCCATTTCTAGAATTGGTTCCTGGAGAGTCTCTGGAAGCTTTTGTCGATATAGAGTAATATGATCCATGCATAGGATTCAGGCAATGTTTGTGTTACAGGTGCTCACAGAAGCTTCCAGGATGCTCTAAAGACTTGTTAAGTGTTAGAAAGAAACAGCTATTGTGGGATTCCGAGCCTGGGAAGCAAGCTTACTGTCAAACTCCTTTCACAGTAATACATCATTTCACAAACACTTTAACAATTTTTTTATCTCACCATTTTATATAATACATGGGAAAGAAATGCTTAGACAGTATTTCATTCTGAAAAATAAATTAATAAAGATTGTATTATAAAGTTTATTTCTGAAACTCTTTAATATCCACAATATATAAAAATAAATTTAAAATTCCATTTAACAAATGGCTTTAATTTAATTGTATTTTTAAAGGTCAGGATTTGTCCATAGACAAAATTTAAAATAACATGTATCATGTTTATTCTGATATATGCACATTGTAATACACATATATTTAGCTTCAATATATGCATATTAAGATATAAATTGAAATATAGGTTTGATACTTGAAAAATAGGTAAAAGTTATTTGACATTTTTGCATTTTACTCTTAAAAAGCAACTGATCTGTTTTTAGATTTTTCTATATTCTGTTTATTTTTAATAAACTCCTCTGCAAATAACATTTTGAAGGAGTGGACAGTTCTTTTTTAACCACTAAAAAATATGTGTAATATATTTAATCAATGCAGTTTTTAACACTAGTTTTTAAATTCCTGGAAATAAAGCTTTATAAGGTTTTGATTAAACAGATACAATTTTATGAATCAGAAGATGAAACTAGAGGGAAATTTGAATAATTGTTTTCACAGTAGCAGTGATTTTTCTTTTTGACCAGTTATCCATTGTGGCAAAAAAATAAACACTCTAGGCCTATGGAGAAAAACCCTTTTAGAATTCTTCAGTAATTAAAGCCACCAAAGTAGGCTACATCTAATGGAGTGATTACAACACTGAGTCATAAGGACTCCTCGTCTAATCTCCTCCAGCCATCATGTTTGCATATTTACTGTGTACTCAGCAGCTCTCAGATGCTTTCATTTTGAAAAATTAGATATTTAATTTATATTGTTTTATGATATATTAGTAGAAATTAAAGCAACATTCTCTGAGACTAGGCTTTTGAGTTCTAAATTCAGGGAGGTAAAGTGAAGTTGGTTAAAGTGTACGAAATACGGTTAGATAGACAGTGGCCCCCAACCTTTTTGGCACCAGAGACTGGTTTCATGGAAGACAGTTTTTCCACAGATGGGGTGGAGGTGGGGAGGCGGAGCTCAGGAGGTGATGCGAGACTGGGGAGCAGCTGTAAATTGTAAATACAGATGAAGCTTCTTCGCTGGCTCACCTGCTGCTCACCTCCTGCTGTGCGCTCCCCTCCTTCCTAAGTTTCATGGAAGTCAATTTTTCACAGATGAGGGCCAGGCGGGGTGGACGGGGGATGGTGGAACTTTGCAGCCAGGTCCCTAACAGGCCACGGACTAGTACTAGTTCACAGCCTGGGGGCTGGGGACTGCAGAGATAAAAGAAATAAGTTCTAGTATTTGATAGTACAGTAGGGAAATTATAGTTAAAAATAATTTATTGGGCCAGGCAGTGGCTCACACCTGTAATCCTAGCACATTGGGAGGCCGAGGCTGGAAGATCGCTTGAGGCCAGGAATTTGAGACCAGCCTGAGCAACTTGAGGCCAAGAGTTCATTACCAGCCTGGACAACATAGTGAGACCCTGTTTCAACGAAAAAGAAAATAAAAAATTTAATGAGGTGTGGTGCCACGTACCTGTAGTCCCAGCTACTTAGGAAGCTGAGACAGGAGAATCACTTTAGCCCAGGAGTTTGAGGTTGCAGTGAGCTCTGATGGCGCCACTGCTCTCTAGCACTGGTGACAGAGTGAGACCTTGTCTCAAAAAAAAAATTATTTTATATTTCAAAATAGCTAGAAGAATTGTAATATTCCCAACACAAAGAAAAGATAAATGCTTGAGGTAATGGATATCCCAGTTTCCTTATTTGATTATTACATATTGTATACAGGTATCAAAATATCACAGGAATCCCAAAAATATGTACAACTATTGTATATCAACAAAAAATACCTCAGTTCTGCTACTTAGTGTAAGGAAGGACTTGGAGAGGTTCTTAACTTTTCTGACTTTCAGTTTCTTGTATTTAGATTGGGGATAATTATAAATGTTATAAGGATCAAATGAGTTAATACATATGAAATCCTTAGAATATTGCCTGGCACATGATAAGCACTTATTAAAGGTTGGTTATTATTAGCTTTGTTGCTGTTGTTGCCATTTACCAAGCACAGAACCTGGCATATAGTAAGCCCTCAAGAAATGATGAATATAATTAATCCACCTTTTCCAGACTCCAGACCCAGGGCCAGTACTGGTTCTTTCAGGAAAGGCACAGCAATTTTGCTATGGATGTGGTAACGAAGAAAGGAGCTAGCAGTTAGTAAGGTCTCCCAAGTTCTTTGTGCCTCTGTCATGGTGGAGAAAAAGAGAAGATGCTATGTGGAATTGGCTGTCTATGTATGACACATCTCCTTGATAGACAAAAAGAACCTCGGAACCAGGAATCGGGAGGCTGAGCTGTATAGCGTGTATTCCCCCAAGCCACTTAAGCACCATACCTTTTTCCTTCAATTGTGATTTTAAAAGAATAGAAAAGGATTTTCAGAGTGGATGCAAGGAGTTGGAGGGCCTCCTCTGAACTCCCTAGAAGTCTTCTTTGTAATTGAAAGAGATCATGGGTATCAGTTAAAAGTCAAGGCTGAGAGGGTGGATATCGGGCAGTCTGGGGACTCTCGGTGGTTCTAGTGCTGCTGCAAGCTCTTGCTTGCAGTTGTGGCAGCTTTGAAAACAGCCTGGACCCATGGATGGAGCTTCTGAGACCCTGGAAATCTACCTCCTGGACCGAAGGCATGAGGACTGCCTGGAATTCTATAATTTATTACTCTATGCTTGTATCTTTAGACCACTGCCTACAAGGGCATCATGTTTAATGGTAAAGAGTTATATAGAGCCAAAAGGATGTATCCTTTTATGTTAATTTGTAATCATTTGACTGCGTTTTGGAGAATCATGTTGAATAAAAGGGAGTTCAGATTTTTTAAAAAAATAAATACCCTCACATCCACACCTGTCCAACAGATCAATTAACATGTGTGCATATGATTATGTGCATTAATAATTCTTCATTCAGTAGATGATTGATCTCAGGAGTCTTGTAATAGTAAGTTTCATTTTTGAACTTGTAAAATGCGATTTTCAATCAAAAAATATCAGTGGCTATCTGGACTCTTTGGAAAAAGATACAATACTTCAAACAAGTATAACTTATCCGGGAGTTATTTGATGTATATGTATTAAGCATTTTAGGAGCAAACGGATGGCTGTTTTTTAAAAATAATTTCATATGCATATATATTGTTTTGTTTTTATTATAGATACACAAAAACGAGAATCTACTGTGAGTGGAGGGACAACCAGGCATTGCTTCTATGGCCTCCAGCCTGACACAGAATATAAAATCAGTGTTTATACAAAGCTCCAGGAGATCGAGGGACCTAGTGTGAGCATAATGGAAAAAACACGTAAGTTAAGTGTGTTCTCTCCTGATCCCCTTCCCCGTGAACAAACGGTATTTTAGGCATCCTGCTTTGGTTCAAAAACCTTATTTCATTTAGAAAACTATTAGCTACTGCTGCCCAGGACTATATGTAATGCAAGTTTTGCTCTTCTTATCCCAGCTCAGAATTCACTCCATGTGGCCCACTGATGTCATCAGGTTGGGTTTTTTTTCCATCCTCCATATATGTTTCACAAGGGACTATAAGGCCACATGATGGCAAAGCTCTTGAAACAATGACTTATATTGTGATCCATATCCATAAGGAACATTTGTGGTATGTGGAGTGCGAAATGGGGTTTGAGGACTGGGTTCTGACATTAAAACAATGGCATACTACCACAGCCATGAGGGTGGGAATGGAGCCAAGATGTTCCAGCTGGCTGACCCTAGAGTTATTGCCTGCTTAAGAGGCTCTTGCACTTTTTCCAAGCTGGCTGCAGATCTGATGCAATGAAGGAAAAGGCAAAATATAAAATTAAAACAAAGCACTTTTTACATGTTCCAAAGAGCAAGGAGAGTGTCAACTTCTTGGAATGACTTTTAACCAAGGATTCCTGACCCAGGGGCCACAAACAATACAGTGGTTTGAAATGTAGTGAATTCTGGTGGGTACTTGTGTGCTTAACTCTATGTCTTGAACTTAAACTTAAAATTCCTGGGGATTTGTGTCTGAATAGGTAGTGGGCAACGGGCCTTCTGGGTAGCCCCTCTATCGTGTATATGGCATTTAGAAGGAACGACTGCCTACGTACAGATCTTCCAACCTCTCTGGTGTATGCAGAAAAAAATCTTCAGTGTGTGACCTTTAAAAGTAGAGGGTGAAATTATCATAAATTGAATCATCTAAGTTTTTTGTAATATAAAGACTTTATCTTATAACAACTGACATAGTCAACATTTTATATTACACATGTATTTTTGAGGTGTAATTTACATACCATAAAATTTAAGTGCCATTATAAATGTAAAATTCAATGATTTTTAGTACATTTACAGAGTGGTGTAACCATTACTACAATCCAATTTTAGAACGTTTCCATTGACCCAAAGAATCTGTCCTGCCCATCACAGCCTCCTTGCCCACCCTCAGCCTCAGGCAATCTATTTTTTTTTTATTATACTGTTTCCTTTTCTGAATATTTCATATAAATGGACATAAATAATATGCAGTCTTTTGCATCTGGCATCTTTCACTTAGCATATGTTTTTGAGGTTTATTCATGTTTTAGAATGTTTTAGTAGTTTGTTTCTTTTTACTGCTAAATGGAAATCCACTTTATGGTTTGTAGATCATATAATTTTGAAGTTAATAGTGGCCTGGTTGTATACATGATTTAGAGTCAAACAGGTTTGGGGATCTGCCCCTTTCTAGCATCGGGCAATTTGACATCTCTGAGCTTCTTTTTGCTCATCACGAAAATAAAATACCTACTTTCTTAATTCCAGTGGTGGCAGTAAAGATCCAATAAAAGAGTACCTGCTAAAGAGCTTTTCACCTTGTATCTCATTAAACAAGTACTTTTTGTCATCACTGTTACTATCTTCTTGGAAGTCACTGATTGAAAGCCATGGGGATAGATCTCACTATCAGATATGTTTTCTCTGGGCTATATTTTTTGTTTTTAAGTTTTAAAGTATTTTTTGAAAACTCAGAAGATCCTACAACACAGAGCTCATATATCTTCATGGTGTCAATCTACTGGAACCAACTAACTGCTGTCTTCTTAGACAGTGCATGTGCTCTCGAGTTTGCTGACACTCCTTGATGTTGAGGCTAAGTTCTTTGCTCATATTCATTATTCTCCTGACCCCTAAAAACATTTGCATTTGAGACTCCATGTCTACTTCACCTCTCCTAACCTTAACTTTCCGACTGTTAACTACCAACCCAGGGTTAAAATTCCAATTTGGATAGCTCTGTTTGATGTAAATATTTTCCTTGTGTTGGAGGCATTTGTCTTGTAGTTTCCACCCATTGGCTCTAGTTCAACCTTCTGAAGCAATGCAGAGCAAGACTGTTCCCTCTTCTATGTGACAGCCTCTCACATCCTAGAAGACAGGGACCATCTGTATGCCACATACAAAATATAAACTCGTGTCACCAGTTCATTGTGGTTCTTACCCAAGAGATTCTTTGGCCAGATGTTCTACCCAAACATATTGATCTGGCTGCCATAGTCTCTCGTTGATTTGGTTCTTGATTTATTGACCTAACTTAGGATTTGCCTCAATTTTCCATGTTAATTAAGATGCATAATTATTAAGAAGACCGGCTACTTCCCCAGATTTTATGATGAATAACTCTGGCTTCAGAGGCATTTTATACTTATTAAAAGAAAGTTTTTCAATGCTACTTGTAATACTAGGATTTCTCAAATTTTTTTTTTATTTTTGAAACTTTCTAGCTTTAAAAAATTGACTTTAAAAATAACAGTGATATATACACATAATAGTACAACAGAAGTGTATAAAGTACACCAACTTCCCTCTTTCTCTATTCTTCCTTTCTAGAAATACTTATTTTTACTATCTTGATTTCCTTTAAGAAATTTTGCCATATCTATATAGATATCTTTTATTTTTCACAAATTGGATCATGCCATTGTATTCTGTGACTTGCTTTATTTCACATAATAATTAATCTTGGATATTTTTTCATTTGGTAATATTAATATATAGTTACCTTATTCTTTTAATGTTGAATCACTTTACTTAAATAACTTTATTTTATTGGATCTTAGAATTGGAAGAGGCCTTAAAACTCACCTCTTCTAACCTTCCCACCAATGAAGAAATTCCCTTTACAACATTCTCAGCAAATGCTCTGTCTGTCTGAGCTCAAATACCTCTAGCCAGGTGGTATTTAACTATCTCCTGAGGCCGGACATCACCTCTGTGAAGGGCTGTGATTAGTAGAATGGTTTCCCTGAATATTAAACTGGGATAGTGAGAAGAATTTTCTCAGATTTTCTTAAATCTTTAGTGTCCAACAGAAATTGGAAATGAATACATAATAAAATAATATTTTATGTTTACCTAGTGACACCATAACTTCCTGGTGCTTTGCCATGTGAGCTGGTATGAGAATCAATACTCTAACTGTCCCCAAATGGTTAAACCGAACCACACCTCTGCATAGTACGTGGACTTCTCATCCCATATGATCTAGGTTGAAAAGATCCTAACATACTTTAGCCTGCCAATGTTTATATTTGGTCCTCAAAACCAAAGCACATTTTCTGGAGATAATCTGAGCAGAATAGAGAGTAAATCAGACTCCAGTGGTGACCAACATCCTGGGGGATGCAGGGTGGGAAGGGGGCAATGTGCTATTGAGCAAGGATTGATGGTCAATCCTTAGCTAGGCAGAATGGAAATGAAGTTTATTGTGCATGTGAAAGTGGCCAGATACTAAATCTGAAGTGGGTTGGCAGGATGCCTGCCTTAAATCAACCTTAGATCCACTTTGTAGTTGACGGTTTGACTGCCTTGACTCCTGCTGGGAGAGCTGAAGTGTGGCAAAATGGCATCTCAGCCTTCAGTCTGAGGCTGAGAGGATGGATGGAGTCAGATTTCACAGGCTGTGGCTGATTTATAGTAGTTCTTAAATTCTCAAAGAAGACAGTTGTCAAAATCATTGACTCTTCTGAATAATTATTGTTCCATAACCTCCCACTCTTCCCTACAGATGTGATGGGTAATTAATGTTCTTTCTTCCTTTCCTTTACAGAGTCACTTCCTACTCAACCACCAACTTTTCCTCCAACCATTCCACCAGCAAAAGAAGGTAAAAGAATAATGCAATAACGATGTCGATGTTTAGGTTGGTTTTGTTTATTTGTACATTTAAAACCAAGGTGTTAATGGCAGATATTAGTTATGATACCTATTTTTCTCCTTCATACAAGTGCATATCAACCATGAGGGACCTTAAAATATCTATTTAATAATAAACTCTGTACACAAAGAGTGGATTTTCTAACAGAATTGCTTAATATTGATTTCATTAAAAATATCAGAGTAGTAAATGTTCACCAAGGAAGAATTAGTTACATAATTTGTAAGTAAAAATCCAGTTTATAAGTCTGCAGACAAGGTTATGGTTTCCCAGCTTGTGGCCGAAATGTCTTTTTCAGTTGTTTTTTCTGTCCTCATTACGGCAGTTCCTCATCACCTTTTACCTGAGCCATTAGGGTACCTTTTTAAAAAGCCCCCCAACAAATGAATGATTCTTAATTTTTTAAAAATTTCATTAATGAACCTTTATTCTCAAAGCTCTTATGCTAGACATGGGAAATACAATAACAATACATGACTGCTGCTCTCTGCTTATTTTCAGTATTGAAGAAAAATAGGTGCTTACCTAGATAATTACCAGTCAGGGATATGAGTTATAAAATAGAGATTATACTATGGTAGCCCAGAAGTGGGAATGTTAATGCTGCTACAGGTTAATGACTCATAAAGGAGGAGGAATTTGATTTACATTTTGAAAAATGAGTTTACACGCAGCATCATAGAGTGACCCAAGTACTAAATGTGTTTGGGGAACCATAAGTGCTTTACTGTGGCACAGAGGAAAGAGTGGGGATAGAGTTAAGAAGTGGTTTGTATGCCAGAATGAAGAGTTTGGGCTTTGTCCTGTTGGAAATGGAATGCAATGAGAAATTTGTGTGAAGGAAGGGTCATCTGATGAAATCTGTGTTTAAAAAAGATAACTTTGGTGAAATGGGGAGAATGGACTGGAGGAAGGAGAGGAGAAAGGAGAGCACATAGTTGGAAGGTTGCATTGGAAAAGTTCTTCCATTCATCAAGCATTTTACAGTACCTATTGCAGTAGTACGAAGGATACGATGAAAAATAAGGAACTTATTTCCTGTGTGACAGGAACTTTAAGCCACACAGGAACTTAAAGTCAATGGAGTCAAATGCTGCAGAATGAGAGACATAAGAAAGCAAAGAAGCAGTGAGAAAAAAAAAGGCAATGAGAAACTCTAATAAAGCTCAACTGCCATCCTAACATAGGATGCAAAGTCTTCACTGATCAACTTACTTTGCAGTATCATGTCCCAGACTATGTTATGTAATAGCAAAATTGTACAACTCAGTGCTCCCCATACACGTTTCATGCTGTTCTGCGTCTTTTAATGTTGTTCACTCTACCTGGAATGCCAAATTCTTTCTTTTTCCGCCTTCATATCTAGACTTCTCTAGTCTCAATATCTGTGGTTATTCTCACTATTGGAACTGAAAACACAACCCTAACAGATGAATTTACTAATTAAACACTTCTGATGCAGATATTATATAATTCTCTCAGGTCAATATTTTTCTTTGTAGCTAAGCATGGATATTCAGTAAACATTCATGAATGCTCATGGAAGACTTTTATGCAGTTTGAAGAGTCTGTGGGAAGAAGGGTCGACAAAGTAGAAACATTGGTTCTGAAGTTTTCATTATCATGGTTTTAGATGGTGGAGCTTTTGCAACTTGAATGCAATGGTTCATTTTAGGCTCTATTTGTCCTGAGTGCATTTAATTTAAAAGTCTGTACAGGCCGGGCGCAGTGGCTCACGCCTGTAATCTTAGCACTCTGGGAGGTTGAGGCGGGCGGATCGTTCTGAGCTCAGGAGTTCGAGACCAGCCTGAGCAAGAACGAGACCCTGTCTCTACCAAAAAAAAAATAGAAAGAAATTAATTGGACAGCTAAAAATATATATAGAAAAAATTAGCCGGGCATGGTGGCATATGCCTGTAGTCCCAGCTACTCGGGAGGCTGAGACAGTAGGATTGCTTGAGCCCAGGAGTTTGAGGTTGCCGTGAGCTAGGCTGATGCCACGGCACTCGCCCCAGGCAAGAGAGTGAGACTTTGTCTCAAAAAAATAAAATAAAATAACAGTCTATACATTTGCATTATTAAAGTAATACTGAGTATATTTTTAAATAAAATTTTCTCTCATTTCGAAGGTGAAACCTGATCTTCATTTCATCTTGTCTTGGAAACAAAGGACCTGGTTTTCTTTTATAAACTCATAATTAGCAGATCTTGTGATTCCTTTCAGTTTTAAATTCCAGCCACAAATTTGTAAAATTTTATAAATCACAGAACTCATGAGAACAACCTCACCAGTCTGTATTGTCCCTAGAGTGTTACCTCACTCAGAGATGGTTTATTTTACATTATAAATAGCTTTAAGGGAATGAAGTTGTACTTAATAAAATAAAAACCAAGGGACTGTTTTTTTCTTAAAGAAAGGAGAAAGGCATATTATCTCATAGAATATTTGTGTGCAACTGGCCTAAGATTAAAAGATTCAGATTACTAAGAGTAAATTGTTTTCCTCATCATAAAACAGCGTTAACCACAATGATCTACACTTTTATAAAGAGGAAGAGAGGCACAGATAATCTGAAACAGCACATGATACCAAAAAAGAATTTTTAAAAAATGCTTTCAGTGGAGTAGATTTCTGTTGGTGTGGGTTGTTTTGTTTTTCTCTTTTTGCTTGTTTGATTGTGTTGATATCTTTAATATCTACTGATAATAGTCTTCCTGGAGCTACCATTAATGTGCAGTTATTCTCATGTATCCAATGTGTGGCAGAAGGGCAGAGACAGAATTTTTTGAGCAAGGCTAAAATTAAAGTTTGCTGTGGCCTCAGCCCAAATGCAAATCCAATTGCAGATTAATCTGCTTCCCTTGTATCACATGCCTTCCTTCTGAGTTTGAATCTCTCTGACGCCAACTTACTAACTCAATAAGCAAAGGACAGGATGCGCAGTGTGATAACTTGGCCTTCCTTCCAATCAGTAGGTACCAGACAATGTTGGCTGATGCTTCTGTCTCCAAATCCCTTTGGTCCATGTTTTCCTATTCCCTCATTTTTATTCTATTGGGTTGAGATTAGTGGACTTTTTTCCCCTCTCCATTTCATGCACAAGAGCTTTTTAGTCATGAATAGGAACATTGGGTATAGAATAGAAATGGGGGTGAAGAAGAATAATGAGCAAAAGTTTGGAATATGAGCCTTAACAAATCTATACCTTTCCTTTGGCAAAGAGCTTTAGTTACCAGAGGGCAACATTTATCAGTCTTATTGGTGTAATAACTGCTGTATTTTCTTTTGATATCTGACTCAAAATTATTGTTGATCTTCAGTATGTAAAGCTGCAAAGGCAGATCTGGTGTTTATGGTGGATGGATCGTGGAGCATTGGAGATGATAATTTCAATAAGATCATCAACTTTCTGTATAGCACTGTTGGAGCCCTGAACAAAATTGGCACAGATGGAACTCAAGTAAGGCTAATCGATCAATTATTAATTCATTCTATATATTCAAAAATTATTTCTCCAGCTCTTATTATGGCTATTTGTCAGGGATTATAGAAAAAAGAACTATAATGATCAGATTCAGCCCTAAATGAGGGGATAGACAAGTCTGTGTTTGGAAGCAGTTATTAAAACCTGGTGGAGCTCCAGAGGATGCTACTCCTTAACAGCTGCTGCATTCAGCAAACTAAAACAGGGTATAAAGTCCATGATAGGGGATGTTTCTTTTATATTACAGGGTGGGATGTCTTCTACAATGATATACATAGTATTTTCCCTTCCCTCAAGGACATTAAAATCTTGAAAGGGAAAGGTTAAGGTCACATATTACCATAGATCAAGCAGAACATGAAACTAATTTATGTATTTAACAAATACGTATTGAGTATTTCTTATGGCCAAGCACCATACTGTCATAATGAATGTCAGTCAAGATGCCTAAGTCATACTGCTCATATTCTTCAAAGTAGGAGAGAAGGGAGAGGGACAGATATAAATAGGCAAACAAATAAATTCACAAGATAGGGATGTGAGCTATGAAAACCGAGTGACGTGACTTAAAGATGTCAGTGGGGATTATTGTAAATTGTGTATGAGAGTTATTTTAAATTATGTGGTCACCAGAGGCTTCTTTGAGGAGGTGGCTTTTGAAATGAGATGTGCACGATGCCAGGAAGGTCAGAGAGTAGAATTTCCAGACAGAGAAAATAGTAAATGCAAAGGACCTTAGATGAGAATGAGTTTTGAGACTTCAAACACCAAAACTT